ACCAGTCATTTTGTAGAATGTCTCGCAGTTGGGGTTTGTCTGATGTTTTCTCACAATTAGGTTAAGGCTATGCATTTTTGGCTAGAATACCACATAAGTGATGTTGTGTCCTTCTCAGTGTATACATCAGGGGGAGTATGATGTCAATATGTCTTATTACTGAAAAATGTTAACCTTGATCACTTGGTTAAGATCACCAATTACAATGGAGAAATCAAATTTCCCTTTGTAATTGATAAATATATTGGGAGGAGACACATTAAGGCTGTATTAGTATACTGACTGTAGCATCCACCAGGATCTTGTATGCAACAATAATTACCGTGGTCTTCGCCTAATGGAGATTTTGTATTTCCCTCATTCCTCATATATTAACTAAAATTCTTCTGTAAGAGCTGTCCCTTCTCCTTTATCGATTGATTGATTGATTTATATTAGTATGGACTCATGGGTATTTATTTTGTTCTATGTGTTATAATTCCATAAAATATATCATTTATTTTTTGCTCAAATTGTTCCAGTTTTGGCTACTGGAAGCACCTTCAGGCTGGCTCTCATGTCCTTATGACACACCTCCATCCATTTTAAGCCTTTCCTTATTTTTTGACATCACAGATGTTCCAGGTTTATCTTGCACTTTCCCTTTCCCAGTCCAGAATCAACCACTTCTCCAGGGAGTCCTGGTTTCTATTATTAGAGAATGACATGAGAAACCAATATCTGACCTCTGGGTATGCACACTGCCACTGGATGTCATTGATCCTAGGCCCTCTCAGTGGACAGAGCTAGGAAATATATGTATGCATACTGACCATACACACATACACACATATCCATATTTATTTCTCTATCTATCTGTATGTATACTAAAAACCATGAGTTCAAGATTCATTCTGGCATTTTCCCTGTCCTTATTTGTAACTGGGAGAACTACTTTTAATACCTTAGTGACTGTTATTTTAGACCCTTGAATACATACTATTTACTACAAATTTGAACGAAACTGTACACATATGTCCCTCATTTTTTTGGTTCAACAACATAAAGGCAAAGACTGAAGACCTGACTACATAAAAATTATAAATATTTCTACTACAAAGAACCAGAAAACATATATAAGAAACAATAAACTGAAAAAATATTTGTAATATATATCTATTTAAAAAGTAACAATAGTATGAAAATAAAGAACTTGATAAAAAAAATAACATGGGGCTATGGGGGTGGGTGAAATGGGTGAAGGTGGTCAAAAAGTACAAACTTCCAGTTATAAAATAAATAATTCATGGGGATGTAATGTACGACATGGTGACTATAGTTAATAATGCTGTATTGCATATCTGAAAGTTGCTAAGACAGTAGATCTTAAAAGTTCTCATTACAAGAAAAATAAACTTTTGTAACTGTATGTTAACTAGACTTAGTGTAGTAATCATTTCACAATATATGTAAATATCGAATCATTATGTTGCACATCTGAAACTAATATAATGTTGTATGTCAATTACATCTCAACAAAAACAATAACAAGCAACACAAACAGGTAATTCATAGAACTAAAAGATAGTAAACACCTAACAAGAAAATCAATCTAAAGAGTTAAAACACAAATTAAAGTAACAACAGATATCACATTGGCAGACAAAAAATATTAATATCTTCAGAGTTAAAGAGGTATAGAGAAACAGCAGAAAAATAAACTGATACAACTTGATTACACATCAACCTGGTATAGCTATCCAAATTTAAAATATGGATAAATTTTGACATAGGAATTTACTTCTAGGAAGTCACTCAACAAAATATTTATGAACACATGCAAGCACACACACTGAGGTGGCAATTTTAATATTGTGTCTCTAACAGTAAAAACTGGAAACAAACTACACAACATTATGATGTTTCGAGGCATGATTTTTTAAAAGTTTAACCTGTTTGGGGTTTGTTGAATTTCTCGAATCTGTAAATCTGTGTCCTTCATCAAATTTGGGAAAGTTTCAGGCATTATTTCTCAAATATTTTTGCTGACACATTCTCTGTTTCCTCTTCTTTTGGGACTCCAAAAAGTCTCCGTGAGACCTCTTAAAATTGACCACAGACTACTGCTGAGATGAATTAAAGAAGATCTAAATCAACAGTGCAATATACCACATTCACACGTTGTAAGGCTTAATATTGTTGTCAGTTCTCCCAAAATTCATCTATAGATTCAAGGCAATTCCAATCAAAATTCCAGCAGGCTTTTTTTTTTTCCCCAAACAAATTGACAAGTAGATTCCAAAATTTTTATCAAACCACAAATTACCTGGAATAGCTAAAGCAATTTTACAACAGAAGAACTAAGTTGGAGGACTTATGCTGCCTAATTTCAGTACCTACTCTAAAGCTAAAGTCATCAAGACAGTGCAGTATTAGTGAATAGACAAAAATATTAATGGAAGAGAAGAGAAGGTTTAGGAATAGACCCAAACATCTAGGATCAACTGATTTTCAAAAAAGGCAACTGAATGGGGGCAAAAAAGAAAAAAATGTTCTCAGCAAATGTTGCTGGAACAACTGAATTTCTACACATATTAAAAAATATAGGGGCTGGCCTCTTGGCTGAGTGGTTAAAGTTTTGTGCACTCCGCTTTGGTGGCCCAGGGTTTGTGGGTTCGGATTCCGGGCGTGGACCTACATCACTCACCAGCCATGCTGTGGTGGCGTCCCACATACAAAATAGAGGAAGACTGGCACAAATGTTAGCTTAGGGTTAATCTTCCTCAGCAAAAAAAATATATATATATTTTTATATAAACCCTTACCTCACATCATACTCAAAAATTCATTCTAAATTGAGCATACACCTAAGTGCAAAAGCTAAAATTTCCAAAAGAAAATATACAGAAAAAAAATCTTTGAGATTTTTGGTAGGCATATATTTCTTAGAATACAAAAAGCATGAACTATAAAACAAAATAATTGATAAACTGTATACTTCACTGAAATCAGAGAATTGTGTTCTTTGAAACACACTGTTAAGGTAACCAAAAGGCAATCCACAGAATGGAAGAAAACATTCATTTCACACGTGGCAAGATTTCACACACTCTTTTCACATGAGGAAGGGTTTCTCTAGACAACGCAGAGTAGACTCATAGGATGGTACACTCAACTGCTTTCCAAAGTGTTTAAACCAATTTACACTCCCCAGTTAAGTGTAAGAAAGTTCTAGTTGCTCCAAATCCTCACCAAAATTTGATAATGTCAGATTTTAAGCTTTCAGTTTAGTAGATGAGAAATGATAGTTCATTTTGCTTTTAATTTGCATTTTTCTTATAACAGGCTTAACAACTTTTTACAGGTTTATTAGCCATTCTTGTTTCCTTTCTCTGATGTGCTTTTTCAATTTTTACCCATTTTTCTGCTCTGCAATTGTCTTTTTCTTACTAATTTTTTAAAATATAAATGTGTTTAACAATCTCTTGTCAGTTACTTGTGTAATAAATAGCTTTTTCTCTCTTTGTGGCTTTACTTTTCACTTTTTAAAAGGTATTTTTGATTACAGAAGGTTTTAATTTTAATGTAGTTGAATTTATCCATCTTCTTTATTGTTTGGTTGGGCTTTCTGTCACCTGTTTACAGAATCGTTTCACATTCCAAGGTCATGTTTTCCTATTATCTTTTTAAAGTAACATGGTTTAAGCTTTCATATTTAAGTCTTAAAATCCACATAAAATTGATTTTTAAGGGGGCATTAGGGATCCAATTTCATTATCCTTCCTTATGGATAGCCAATGGTAACTATACCATTTATCAAATATTCTATCCTTTATTTTACTGATCTACAATGCTAGATGTATACAGAATCAAATTCCTATGTATATATAGGACCATTTCTGTGCTATTCTGCTCTACAGGTCTGCCAAGATAACACTGTAACTGTTACATAAGGTAAGGAAAAACCCTCCACCTTGGTCGTCTTCTTCAGAAGTGTCACGGCTTTTCTTCGACCATCGCTCTTTCATATGATTTTGAGAATCAGCTTGTCAAGCTCAATAACAAAAACAAGAAAGATCCGACTGGTGTCTTGTAGGGAATGGTATTGAATTTATGATAATTGTCATTCTTATGATATTGAGTACTCCTATCTATAAAAGCGTACATCTCCCTATTTACTTAGGTCTTTAAAAACTCCTTCAATGAAATTTTTAAATTTTTTCTATAAAGTCTTCCATATTCTTTGTTAATGCCTAGGTATTTTATATTTTTATAGTACTGTATAGGTTGACTTTTTTTTATAATTACATACTTCAAAGGGTTATAAATGAGGATTAAATGAGTTACTATTTGTAAAGTACCTAAAATAGTGACTGGTATATATGTGTTTATTAAATAAAACAAATCACATATTCCATTTATCTCTTGTATGTTAATTTTAGAATAATTTTGACTAGTTATTAAAAGAATGATGTTGAGATTTTTCATTGCATTTGTGTGATATTTATATATTAATGGGAACTGAGATATTTACCACATGGAATCATCTTATCCATTCAAGAACTACAAGGCTTTTTATTTACTCAAATATCATTTTATTTCCCTCAGTAACATATTGTAGTTTCTTCTGTGTTTCTTAAGTATATTGTTAGCTATGGGACTTCTTTTATAATTGCCATAATTACTGAGATTTTTACAATATATTATCTGTAAAATATAGGCATCTATTTATTATTTTAATTTATTTTAATACATGAAAATCCATTCACTGTAAAAAAAATTCTTTTAAACAAATAAGTGTTTCTAGTAAATTTTTCCTATACCCTATTCCTTTAATTATTGGGTAAGCTGAGTATTTTTTGGCATCTGCAGTCCTTCTGTGGTAAAATGTCTGTTGGTAGTCTTATCTGGGTTTGTTTTTTTTTTTAAAAAACTGGGTTGTCTTGTCTTTTTCTTCCTGATTTTTAGGGTCTATTTGTTGGAACGTCTTTCAAAACATGATGATTTTCTACATTGTTCACTAGTATTTACATGCTGATCAGCCATATGGATACCCTTGACTGATATGATCTACCTTAGGGTTTTTTTTTTTTTGTGAGGAAGATCAGCCCTGAGCTAACATCCAATGTCAATCCTCCTCTTTTTTTTTTGCTGAGGAAGGTTGGCCCTGAGCTAACAACCGTGCCCATCTTCCTCCACTTTATGTGGGACGCCGCCACAGCATGGCTTTGACAAGTGATGCGTTGGTGTGTGCCCGGGATCCGAACCTGTGAACCCCGGGACGCCAAAGTGAAGCGTGCGCACTTAACCACTTGCGCCATCAGGCCGGCCCCTACCTTAGGTTTTGAAAGCATCACCACCATGACTACTATGTTAGAAACCTACTATAAGGATAAAGGTAGAAGCTGGAAGTCTTGGCAGTAACCCAGGTGAGAAATGAAGGTAGCCAACCAGAGTGATAATCGTAAAGGTGGTAAGAAGTACCTGAATTTTTAATATATTTTGAAGGTACAGCCAGTCAGATTTCCTCATGGATTAGATGTTGTGATGTTGTGTATGAGAGGAAGAGAGGAATTAGAAATGACTCTAAGAAACTGGAAAGAAAGAACGATCAGCAACTGAGATGGGGAAGGCCATAAGCAGAGCAGATTTGGGTGAGAGAATCAAGAATTTCAATTACCATTGAGTTTTTGAGGGATGTATAATTTGTAGTTTCCAGAGTTTTTTTTTTTTTTTTTGGAGAGTCTAACTCTGTCTTTGGCAGTTTCTCTTTGCAGATACAATGTGATGCCAAACTGTAACTTCTAAAACACACATAAGGGGCCAGCCCGGTGGCATAGTGGTTAAGCTCACAGGCTCTGCTTCAGCGGCTCGGGGTTCGCAGGTTTGGATCCCAGGGTGTGAACCTATGCACCCTTATCAAGCCATGCTGTGGCAGGCGTCCCACATATAAAGTAGAGGAAGATGTGCATGGATGTTAGCCCAGGGCCAATCTTCCTCAGCAAAAAGAGGAGGATTGGCAGCAGTTCTTAGCTCAGGGCTAATCTGCCTCACATACACACAAAATAAAATAAATAAAACACACGCAAGTCAGTGCTACTAAAGTAGTGGTAAGAGCCCAGGCAGCCATTGAGCCACCACTATGGAGCTCCAGGGCTCTACAGAACATAATTTGAAAACCAAAGGGATAAGAAAAGAGCTCTATATTTACTGATTTCATACAAGCATTCAGGTTCTCTAGCCGACTTGGGCTCTGGCAGCTCCCAGTGAATTAGACAGCACCAAGAAGTTCACCAGCACTTACTCTATGATCACGGAGGCCAAAGCGTAAAGCAATAAAACAGACTTTGGCACCCTACCATTCAAAAGAGTCTTGGAAATTATGTTTTCTAAGGAATCTACAAACAAATTCACAAAATGTTTCTGCTCACTTCTTAACTGAGAGGCTTTCTAAGAGAACCATCAACAGTTCTGAAGTTTTTGAAGGGACTAGACTAGATGTTTTCTATTGTCCCTTGCTGATATAAAATTGTTTGAACTTACAGAACTAAATGTTAATTAAATATGTTAATTACAGCGACTGTGGAGCACACATATATTAAGACATACAAATGCTTAGGAACCACTCTGCAGAGCTGTCAGAAAACTTCAGACTAAGGTTATTTAAAAACCAGAAGTAAAAATATCCTATGCAAAAAAAAAAAAAAAAGAAAAGAGTTGCCACTGGCAATACAATGCTAAATCTTGTCACTGAATCTAGTACTCAGGCAGTCCAGTGACAAGGAATCAAGGAAACTAAAAGTTGAACTAAAATTGCAAACTGAATCAAAGTAACTAATACATATATTAGATGGTTGGTAGAGTCTTATACCAATGCTGTATCACATTCTAGACCAAAAAATTGTTCTAATGCCTTTGTACTACATTTCTATAAGGATATAGATCTCAAACTCCCACAGATTTTATATTTAGCTACTGAAATAAATTCAACATAACACAAGTCCACTAAGCTGGATATGTGTAGAGAATGAGTTATGTAGAAACAACTGTAGCCTGGTAAGCTGATATGAGGTACCCACAAGGAGAGATGGCCGAAAAATACATTAAAGATGCTCAGCTTCAAACATATGGCATAGCTGTGGACTACTGGAGCCTATAAAAGCAGACAGAACAATTGGTATAGAGCAATCAAAATAAGATAGGCAAGTTCAAGTGGCAGCAATAAACACCAGCACTCCGTAGTTAGAATCATAATAAATCACATTTAGAATTTCACAGAACCTTGTAATTTTAGATGGAAGTGGCCTTAGAAATAACCTTGTCCAACTTGTTTTATGGAAGAGGCATCTAAAACCCATAAATGTAGTGAATTAACAAAAAACAACTGCAAATTAAAGTTATTTTTAGAGAACAAGGATGGGATTACATCACCAAATAGTTAGGGTCTATAATGCAAGTGTCAGATCTCAGCTAAAAATGATAAAGCTATTATACAACATAAATTATTTACAAGTAAAAACAAAAGAGTAGTGAAAATTTCCATTTGATCTGAGCTTAGTATGTTGATGTGGTTAAAAGGAGAAACAAGCTAATAAACATATAGAAATTCATTCAATTACAGATAGTTCCAAAAATACTTAGTGTTTTATTTAAACATATGTATAATAATGTGCACAAAGAAAAGTATATTTTTACAAAAATCCTCTAGGAACTAATATGCTTTACCACAAACAGTGGGAATCAGTGTGTGTTGCAGAAAAGAATATCATGGGCTTCAGGAAAAAAAAAATGCTTCTAGATCAAATCCCTTACAAGACAGATGACCTTAAGGAAGTTAGTTAGTTTTTGTGAATATCAGTTCACTCATATATAAAATGTTGATAGTAATATCTACCTCACAAGGTTCCTGGGAAGATTTTAATAGTAGTATATACACATGTAAATGCCTCGTACATAGCAGATGCTTGAGCTATTTCCTTTCCTTATTCTTTTATAAACATTTCTAGTAACCATAATAAATACTAACATTTAACTAACACACATGTCAGGCACTTTTCTAAGTGCTTTACATACACTAATTTACTTAATCCTCACACCCTGTGAGGTAGATGCTATTATTATTCCCATTTTTCAGTTAAAGAAACTGAGCCACAAGCATTTAAGGCCACACAGATACTGAGTGGTGATGTCAAGTTCAAACCCAAGCGATCCAGAATGATGAAATTCTAAGAAAAAGGCTGAACCACCTAAAGATTCAGCTTTGAGAGTAATATAAATGTAAATGATTTTAGTGCACAGCCAGAGTGAAGAACTACTGTTCTAAACACAGAAGATGTAATGGACATGCAAGTCAAGTGGCATCTGGAACCAGGATGATCTTCAAAGGTGAAATTACAAATGGGAAGTGGTGGTGAAGAACACGGCATGCTGAGTTAGTGCAATGAGAAGAAGAATGAATGAGGTGGAGAGTGGAGTAAGGAGCCAGACAGGAAGGCAGGATTATTTCCCAGTGCCGGGAAGGCCAGGTCAGAGCATGAGGGAGAGCAAACAGCAATGCAATCTCCTGGCTACAGCAGCAGCTCAGCAACACAATCCGATGACTTGTTTGTGAACAGTGAAAACATTCATTCTTTTGTCACTGCTTATTTTTGCAAATGGCACGATGCTTTCCTCATCATTGTTGCTACTTTTTTCATAACTTGCGACTACCAAGAGTTCTGTTATTATGCAATTCAGTGAGTTTGTCTTAATCTTGCTGATAAAACATTTGAGATTTGGTTTAACTTTCTTACCTTAAAATTCAGGAAATAAATTCATTATAAAATCATCCTCAACCAATATTAATATATTCACTAAATAAAATACTCATGGTTAGAAAGCACACGAAGTATATGGGGGATCGTTTTCATGATAGTAGACAACAACAAAATAAAATCAAACATAGCACCAGAACAATATAAAACTCATACAGCTTTCATAGAATTAAAATATCTCTTAGGTATCATCTAACTGAGGCTTCCATTTGGTGGTATTATAGCTGAACTAATCTAAAGAGTTCATATAAAATATAACTCTATACTGTTTTTAAAAATCATAATAACAGATAAGCAATTTATTCTAACAAACTCTTGGAGTTCTTATCCATTTATATTTTAATGACTTTCTTTTGAAAACTGAATGGAATCTGTGGTTCCTTTTCCCAGAACAGAAACACAAATGCACAAACACACAGCACTTTCCATGGAACGTCAGGGAGGTCATACACCTTGGCTAGCTGAAGAACACTAGCATTACAGTATTTCTAAAGACCCACTATGGGGAAAAATTCATTTTCTCTAATCTAAATATTTCACATCACAGATACAAGTCATTTCGTAAGTACAGAGATGTGGATTTTGTACACATTTATATCTCCACGCACCAGCACATCCCTAAATGAATGATGCAATGGATGCCCATATTTAAAGGAGACCTGGTACTTGCTGACTTCCCCCTCTTTTTTGCAGCATCACTTCTGAATCTTTCTTGTTTATAACACAAGAAGATTGTGTGAAATGGTGAAAATACACTGATTTAGAGTTGGAAGATAGGTGTTCAAGTCCAGGATTGACACTTTATAGCAGTATGATCTTAAAACACTTAACCCATGCCCTCAATATATTGTCTGCAGAAGAAAGTTGAATCCAATTTCACAAAGCTTTAGTGAGTACTGGGCAAAGCATCAGTTTCCTCATCTGATAAATGGGAATAATAATAGTACTTATTTGATAGGATTAGAAGATTAAATAAGATAATACATGTAAAGTGCATAGCAAAATGCCTGGTACAGAGTAAATGCTCAATAATCAGCTATTATTAATAAGCCTCATATTGTGCTAGGTATTGGATAAAATACCTCTCTTGCAGGGTAACAAGAGATATGTATGGAGGTGGAATAAAAAGCGTGTTAAATAAGTGGTAGTCCCTCTTTCCATTTCTGTTGATAGAAGGGGGAACTGGGACACACATAGTTAGTAACATGCTGAGTGGAAGCCTAGAGAGGCCGCCCATTCTTCCCCTCCAAGACTGAAGTACTCACTCCCCTAAGCTCTCGGGGGCCTGAGTGGCTGATAAATCTCAGCTGAGTTCCTCTGTGGGATTTGCCGTAGGTTGAAGACAGTTGGCTCACCCAAGGTCATGCTCCCTTCTCAGGACACCAGTGACTTGGATCCAATGACTGACTGACAGGGGGATATAAAGGCCGAGCCTTTGCCCCAATTCAGGGTAAGTCTGAAGGGCCATCCCAACTCCACAGTTCCCTGAGATCAGCTGAAGCTTTCTAGGCAATTGAAATGCAATTCAACTTCTCCCCCTGCCCAATCCTGCTTGTTTCACAGCTAAAGGTATTGATCCTCAGAATACTCCTGCACACAAATCTGTCTCAGAGACTGCTGCCTAGGGAAATGACTTATGACACTTGCCCAAAGTCAAAAAGCTA